TCGCAAGCATATATTCGGAAGTTGTTATTTCTTCATCAAATGATCTCTTTGACGACTTTTCCTCCACCCTCGATCGCCTCTTTGTACATCAACCGAAAAACGTACACTTGTTATATTGAAAAGTGATCTAGAAGTGTTTATTTAAATTCATCTCTTATGTTTTTCTCACATCTCTTTTCATCCTGCCTCAATCGCGCGCCCATAACATCTGAAAACAGTGTTGGAATAAAGAAGGAAGGTTACAAATCGATCTGTTTTATCAAGTTTCCAATCATCCACATACACATACGTCTTCCCCAATTGAGACATCAGCGCAACTTTGGAGTCTTTTTATACAAAAAAACCATCTCTCTACACAAATACACAACATAAGGCGGCTGCTCGTTTGATCATTTCACCATCCACTTCTTCATCTTTCTTCCTCTCACTCATTCTCAACACGTTTGACGGCAAATAAACCTTCTCTTCTCTCACACTCCGCGTCCAATGCAATCTCAATGTGGTCAAAGCCACGATCCACGCAAATCCCAAGCGAAAAAATACCTTAAAAATGCTTCAGAACGTGATTATCAATATTAGTCTTCGCCTGAATTCTCGATTCGACTGAAATAAACAGCAATATTTCGCAGGAAATTCAAAATTTTGGCACTTGAAATGTGATTTTAAATTACAACTGATTTTGGAACAATTATAAATTTCATTAAATTATAAACCTAATCTCAAAATTGAAGCCACCGAAATGGAAGCAAAAAATGTAATAAAGTAAAAAGGATAAGAAAAATGAGTATAAAGAAGCGATCCGAAGAAAAATAGCCTCAAGTGGACATTTGTTTCACATTGGGCAAATATAGATATGATCCAAATACGGGTTTTGCTACTGGAAAAATGAATAATAATAAAATTGAAACCACTTGAGAAGCTACTGAATTGAAATCACACACGTTCTCATCCTTTTACGATTCACTTCCCTAAAACGAAATTTTTATTTACAATTTACTAGAAGTGTTATTTTAATTTTAATTCCCGCCATACAAAGTTACTCAACTGCAAGCTTTTCTTCATCCTCTGAAGAACCCTCAATTCTTTATGTTTTGTCGAAAAGAAAAAAAATGAGATTTGCCAACAAGAGAGAGAGAGATAGGTTAAAATAGGACAAAGAGGAGATTTAACCCATTCGGAGATACTTCAAAATATTTTCTCTACAAAATTCTAATACATGAGCAAATTGAATAAATATTTCACTCATGTTGTGCAGAAAGCTCTTAACAATTTTCTCATTTAGCACTTGATGATTATTTCAGTCTCACCCCAAAAATGCGGGTCTCTTTTGCAGTCTTTTCAGCCCTTGAAACTGTTCTGGAGAAAAAAAAAATCTCTACTGGGTGGAGAGCTAGGGATCATTTTAAAAGGCTTACGCGGGACTTAAAACCTTCTTTCCGCTTTCATGCACCTTTTTTCTCCGCCGAATGTATGCATATGTTTTGAAAGGATTCTCCATGTGGGCGATCACTTTCGGCCAAAGGACAAAAAGTCCTGTAGGACTCATTCAAACATGAGATTAATTAATCCATATTAAACATTATCATGCTTTGTCAATAGGCAGATGTTGAATTTGAATTGCTGTGAGAACAAAAAACCGCATAAAGGTGGATTTGTCGTGTGAAAATCATCATTGTGCCGTCCTTAAAATCATTACTTCCACCCTCTTGAGCCCTCAATAGTTTCACACATATCGGAGAATTGCACTTAATTCTGCGGAATAAGGATCACTCGACAGTTTACTCAGCAAAATTAGTTTCACACAGTTAGTCCTTCGGGATTTTTCCTCTCCTTAAGGAGATTACCCAAAAACTTACCCTCCTCGCAAGGCATTCGAAAGTGCAAGAATCGAAATAAATGGATAAGCTCACCAGGTGAATGCAAAGAGAAATTGAAGATGGAATTAGCAAGACACAACAGACATTCAATACTCAAAAGGACATTGTACTGTGAAGATGAGATGTCTCTTGAGACGCAAAAGACAAAAATATTGTTCAAAAATTTAACTTTATCTACTTTCAAACCAAGAGTATTATGAGATTTCTCTGAATATACATTATCCAATTCAATTTTAAGGAAAAAATCCATAGAGAATGGACGAAATTCGCCATTTTCCTCGTCTAAATACAGAAAAGTGAAGTAAAATATCCAGTGTGGTTTGTGGTGAAACGGAAAAATGGCGGTTTTTATCAAAATCTCACGATCTTGGAGGAAAAAAGGCGGTCAACCATTATTCCATCCACCTATTATACGTACAGCATTATGATTATATTTCGAATTCATCTCTACTTTGTTTATTTATGCAGCTCACTATCATATTCGTGTTGTGTATAGAACACAATGTTCATGGTAATTTGCCCTCAAGAGGAAGTTGTATGTGTGTTTTTCTCTGTCCAACAAGAAGAAGGAGGTGAGTCTCAAGCTCGAATTCCCTTTCCTTCCTCAAAGACATTGTGTTATGGCAATGGTGGAAAAAAGAGGAAGGAAAGAGAAAACATGGTCGAAAGATCGAGTGTTGTATGTATATTTATTTGGTGTAAAAAGTCTTGGAAATGTTATTCACGAAGGGGAGAAAAAAATTGACATTAAACCATGCTATCTCCATATCATGACATAATTACAATGCTAGATACATATTAGATAAAGTGGAGCATTATTTATCATTAAATTTACGTACATAAGTCGACTCGGACTTAATAATTTCCTCCACTTCTTTTTCACTTCTTCAGTTTTTTCCTTGCCAGCTCAGAACGAAAGGTAAAAACATGAACATACAAAAGGTACACCGCGATAATATGTATAAAATGTATCAAATTTGTAAATAAACGTTACAGATTGTACATTTTCAAAGAGAAATTCTTCACCCTTGACGTATAAGGAAAACAAGGGACCAAATTATGATTTTCTTGTAACAATGATTAAAATATATTCCACGGTGCCAGCATGAACAGAATTTTCGTGAATTAATCAGATAATTCACGTGAAATGCAAAGGAAAAATGCAAATTACAGCAAATATCACACAACATTCAAATACAATTCTTTACTATTTGTTTGTACAATGTGAATAATTAATGGGAAAACGCGAGGTGGACGATTAATTTACTGCTCACACAATAATTGTTGACATCTTGATGGAGTTTTTCCTTCACAATTTTCTCACTGGAATTGTAGGAAGAAAAATACAAAAAGGAACCTTAAAATATTATCACGTCATTACTATTGTAGGTTTTGCCTCTTTCCGCCACTTCAAAACTATCTTTCTTTGAACGTGTTTCCAGTATTCATTTCTTTGATTTCACGCCGCATAATCTCACAATGGCTTTGTCATCTTCTTTAATTTTCACCTGTATGTTTTAATTTAACATTATACACGCTATTATTATCGCTTTCGCAGTGTTTAATTCATTCATACACACCTTATTTCTCCAACGTTTTCGTATCGCACTAATTCTACACCTCAAAGTCATCATTATTGTATTTTGGAATAATAGGAAAAAGAAAGCTTCTGGGTATCCTACTTTGTAATCATTGTTTAGTATATGAGAAATGAGACCAAAAACTACCATAATTGACGGAACACAACCAAAAATCTCAACACCATGTTATTAATTATATTAGAAGAGAAAAATAGTGTGAAAACACACTATATTTTCACCGTAAATTCATACCTATGTTTTTTCCGAACCCATCGGCAAATCTTTTGTAATATTTCCAGAGGAATGTTTATCATCCAATTTAATAACTATCACAATTTTACATGCCAGAGCAGATGAAAATGCATACAATTTTTTATGAGTTGAAAAGGATAAAAAAAAGAAAGACAATTGGTCACATCGATAGAAGAATTGAGGTGAAATACGATAACTTTGAGAAATATCCATGAAGACACACCAATCGAGATGACAAATATTGTTTTCATGCCATCCTGAGAAATGATGACATAGAAAAGACCCAACAAAATAACTTTCAAGATACATCTTCACTCCAATTTATCATTCACCGGACTTTTTGCCTAATCATCAATGGAAGCGAGAGATTTCAAAGTTGTCTCTTTGATCCTTCACTGTTTGTCTAGGCAATTTAATCCTTGAGTAATTTTGACAATTTACCGACATAAACTCCATAAGAAGTTACGCAAATATTGTCATAAGAGATATTTGTACTCAGAAAAATGATTCAAATACAGTTTTGCTTCATGCAATAGTTACACCAATAGGTAATTGATCGTTGTGCGGAGTGTTAGACAGTAGGACGAAAATGTTACACGTTTGATTTGGCAACAGATAAAATGTCCAGTCAAGCAGTTTTGGGAAAGGACAAGGGGAGGAAAATACACACAAAAGGTGAAATAGGAGCTGAGATTGGAATCAAACTCTATCATTGACTCGAATATCCCTAATTTGTCTCTCTTCACATGCGTCTTTTCGATGTGAAAACAACTTTTCGTGTAACTGGAAACTATAAATATGTTAAAGAGAAATTGTACCAGCAAATAATTGGACATTCACATTTTTAGGTAGCCTCTCGCTTCCCTTCCAGTACAATTTATACGTGTTGAATAAAAATACCAACAACTTTTCATGACATCTTGCTACACTTTTGCAACTGTTTGCACAATAGGTGAACGCAAATCACTCGCTGTAATGTGATACTTTGTTTGAAAATTTCGTATCCATCTCTTGAAAAATGCCTGTCGAGGTCGACATACAAAGGAAAACACCAAACTAGGGGGAAAATTAAACAGGATTTTCACTGATAAAGAGCAAGATAGATGAAAATATATCGCACTACAATCAGATTGAATGAGAGTTTTATTGAATTGTCGATGAGAGATCTAATTACAAGACAAGATAAGCCAACCCTCGGCATTGTTGAATATGAATTTATATCTTCAACCGCATTGCACAATGTTGAGTGGAATGAGAAAAGCATATTAGCAAGAGTTGCCATGATGAAGAACTTGTATTTTGGCACAAATTTGTGTGTTAAGTTACATGAGCAACGCTCTCATGTCCAAAACAAAGACCCGTCCGCCGCAATGTGAGATGAACAAGGTGAAAAAGATAGATTCCGCCAAAGGATGAAGAGTTGAATAAAATTCTCAGTAGCTTGTCTCTTGAGAGCAAATTGGAACATGATTGAACGATGTTCAGATCGATTCTGTGGAAAATGTTGCAAAATCCCTGGCTTCTTGTCATGTTTCTCTTCACTATACATTGTGTCTCTCTTACTTTTTCTGGAAGATCACCCGGCTGGATGGATGAGGATGGCGATCAATAAAACATTTTTGAGATTCCCTGTCAAAAAATTACCTGTGGACATGATTCATTTCCCATCCTTCACCTCCACACTCGCATCGTCAGGAGGAAAAGAGTATGGAATCGGTGAAATCACTCTTTTCCAGAGGCACGACAGGGCAAAAAATGTTTATAAAAATCATGCAGTAGAAGATATGACTTCCACCTGTGGTGAATTTGTTGAACAATGCTAGTTGTGACAGAGAATGATGCATTGAGGCCCCAAACAATTCCACCAAGATCCAGATATCACTCCTGAGTGTCTCCTCTCGGCTGGGCTTTCTGTTGGGAAGCTGCGACATGGCCACGAAGGATGACCTGCGGGATGACAAACGGGAGAAGTCAAACCAAAAGAGGGGTAGAAAGAAAAGGAACAGCACACGCACACAATACAGATGTAATGAGAAATTGAAATGCGAGAATAACCGCAGAGAATGACTTCTTCTTGAACGTTGAAAGATCGATTAGAGGGCATTCATCCATCATTTGAATACAACCCAGAGGCATTTTTCAGATGATTCGATGATTGAAAAAGTTGTGAATTTTTTTCCAGCTCCTTTAAATTCCTTCTGAACAAATTTTATTCCACGAAAAAACACATTTCAGTCCTCAATCTTCACCCTCTTCATGATTTTTCATCATAAATGTTACATGATCATCAGTTTTTTTTCTTATAAATAAAGAAGATCTTCCTGGGCAAGATCCTGGGAGGATTTAAGACAAATTCATGTTTTCCCTCTATAATTCTCCATACTTGAGCACAAGATAAAGGAGACTTTTGCACTATAGATATGTGAGGTTTGAATCGTGATTACTCTACTATTTGCCTCTTCTTAACCTCAGGAGACAGATGTGCCATTTTCAGCGTATTCAGCACTATCCTCACCCTGAATTGCAAGCGGCCACAATGAGCAGAAAACATGAATCGATACACCGACGAGGTTGGGCAACTTAATAAATAAATAAATATCAGAAATGTATGTATGTAATAAGCGCCTTTTGTTAAATACTGTGTTGGTTTGGCTTGCCTTTGGAGGCATCAACAGACCTTATAATGCACGAAAGCGAAAATATTATACTTTGATCTCTTGATTTATTGTCATTTTGAGGAATTATCTCTGTGAATTCCACCTTTTTTACCCTCCTTCTAGCCGCAATGCTGCGCTTCTCTCACAATTCTCATACCAAATAGAGGGAAATGTATTAACAACTAAATTTACACACTTTTTCCACAATCCATCCCTAATTCCTCATGTCGCAAGAAGCATAATTTATCAATAAGAGGAAACACACATTTTCAAAATCCCACAGAATTTGGCTAATTTTGTGTATGTTTCACAAAGAAAACCATCACATTTTGCGGTGGGAAACTTTATAAATTAAGCAATATAGTGAACAAAAATTAGGAGATAAATTCAAAGGTGAAGAAAACCCGCACAATACAAATGAATTACAATAAGCCTATTAAACCGCCTCATATTCAACCTACTAATTTCTTGACACCCAACAGACTAAATGTGCATGATTGAAAGAGAAATACGTAAAAATCAAAAATCTCCAACAGCTAAAATGACATAAAAGTAATCCGACACTCTTATTTGCCATGATGTGGATTTTGAGGTGAGAAAAATCTCACATTCGCCATAACCACACAAGAGTGATTCGGAAACAGGATGCCCTAATCAGTGTGTTACGCCATATTCACACACTGGGCATTTGCCAGCAAGCATGTGGCCATCATTTGCCCTCGAGGGTGTAATTTTATATCATTCACAAAACACTCCCCGAAAAAACATCCCACGAGGAGCGACCAAAATCGCAAGCCAATTTATTATTGTTTGCAACACAACAACTTGCAGACAGATTTGAGGAAGGAAGAACAATCATAAGAAAAGAAGGCACCATGACAAGGATCCATTCACTATGTTGTTTGTCTAATCAAATTTAAAAAGCATGTTTGAGATTCAGATAAAAAGAATACCATGTAGGATTATCCTGTTTTGCAATCTGATATTCACAATTAGTCCATTAGGGAGTCCAATTTTTGCGGTTATGGACGAGCAAAGCTGGCAAATGAAAGGTGATCTGGCGTATTTTTAAGAAAATACATCCCATGATGAAGCTGTGATACAAAATTCTATCCAAATTGAAGTTTAATGTCACTTTTGTAGTGTGGAATTCTACGAAGCAACAATATTCAACAGTTCATGCAGATTTAATAATCGCAGCCTACAACAAAACACGCAATCTATCAATTTCTCACTCATCCTGAGAAGTGACAATAAACCTTCCAGATTAGGATATTCAATATGTCAATGCGAGAAAAGTTTGACTTCTGAATGCAGAGGGAGAGGCTTTTCCTTAATCCCGATGTCACACAGAGTGAGAGTGAAAATAGAGACAACACAGAGTGGCCCTATTTAATTCATGGGAGGGACTCAATATACCCGTGAATTACAGGACATATTCATTTGTACGTAATGCAATGAAAAGCCATCGTTCACCACATATTTCAACATATTAAATTGTGCATGTGTTGCTACATTATATCTTGCATTCAGCTAAAAGGGAAAACGGAAACCCCTTGACTATTTGATGTTTCACTTACCCCTAACTAAGTGGAACAAAAGCGAATCAAATTGTGTAACTCAGGCCATAAACATTTGTACGCCAATTCCATCCATGATGAAACACACAACACACATCCATGAGATAATGCCGTATTTTAGCACACAATTCCCGGCCATGGGGTGGAAAAGGGAAACCTCTTTCTTCATCCAAAGGGTACTTTTCCCTCTGTCAAGAATCTGCTAGAGTGAGATGTTGAGCTCTTCTTCTCTCTCATCCACAGTAAAATGAGACTCTGTTACTCCATGTTGACGTGCAACTCTCTAAAATATTATTTCTCACCCTTGAACAACATTTTAGAGTGGCGTTGAAAAAAAAAAAGAATTTATAGAACATAAATTTTCATATTATAATGTTGAGACACTCCTCTCTTTAACTTATTTCAGGCCCGTCTTTTGCGATATGTATAGCATTTCTGATATCCTCCTCCCGACTATCGCCCCATTGCAACGTTCACACAACTAACGAGGGGCATTATTGTGGAACATGCCGAGGGTAATTTGTATCTTCGACACTCTGCAGCTCAACATTTCCTTGGTTGGTGCATTTTCTGTCCCTAACACCAAAAAATTTCCCTCAACAATATTTATATTGAAGGTCCTTTTTCATTTCAAACTTTAAACTCTGCACACACACACCCAACATTTGCCACAGCATGGACGAGTTTTCACAAGACTCTCCCGTATTTATTTATGTTTATTAACGTTCGCATCAGCTATGCTCTTTTTTCAAGCCACATTTTCACGCTTCAGGCTTGTTTTCATATCAAAGCGCACTCGCTCAATCCAAGTGTGATTTTCCCATTAAAAATTTAAAGCCTCAACCCCAAAATAACATTCACGATGACGGAACAACTAAATTAATCACTGCACGATTGGAAAATCAGACATTCTTCAATAACAATAAATGAGTGCCCATCAACTAAAAAGAATGAAAAACACATACAAAAAATAATTCCAAATTCCTGAAAACAATTTTTCCAATCTGATATTTCCAAAAAGAAGATTCTTATTTGTATAATAAATATTTCTCTAAGGATATCTAGTCTCATTTTTTCTCTCAGTGTGCGAACATATCACTTTCTTTTCCATTGTTTGTTTAATATAAATATAATAACATCGCAAATCTAAATCACGCAGTGAAATGAAAGAAAGCTTTCTTTCCGCCGGTTATTTTTCTAAAGCCACCTAAAGGAAGAAGTTATCACAAAAATATTTCCTTTCGTAACCAGCCAAATAACTTATTGAGCTCTGTAGAAAAGGTGAGTGTTGAATGGAGGGAAAAACTGTGGAGCAAATGCTCTTTTATACCACAAACACTCTTCCTCACAACAAAAGTTCGTGTGGAGAGAGATTGAGTGTGAATGCATTTCACAATGCTTTGTCGGAAGATTTCTTATACTAATTTTTCTAACACGATTATTTCACCTCCGATGCCAGGTTGATATGTTGTACATCCCAAAAGTCGAGACAGTATTCAACATACGTATGAATTATTCCACATCTCAGACATCAATTTCAATTGTCCAGCATTGAAATTTATCAGAGAAAGAATTGCACACAAAAGGATAAATTCAAGTATAAATATCACTTCCATTTTTGTGACGGAATGTTTTCAAATGCACTGTCTTCTTCACTAAAAACATCAAAAAAATTAATGAACAAGACTAAAAATCATTTCTAGCTTAAACTCAAATTCCACTTTTAATAATCCCTCGTATTATTACAAATATTTGTACCTTTTTCCCTGCTTTGGCAGGAGATGAAAAGAGACATCAAATTCACAGCTTTTCCTTCAACGGAACTCTTGCACGCACAATGCGCACAGCTTACCAATTGTCAGAGTGTCACAAGTATTCAGAATCATCTAAATAAATACCCAGCGGAATAAAAATGCATATACAATTGCCCATAATGCAGGAGGTAAAAGAATGAAATATGTATGAAAGTTTAGAGATGAGAAACCCTTCATTGAATATTGTGGCGTGGAGTGCCTTTGAATTGATGATAGTTTCATTTCTTCAACAAACATAAGAAACTTTATTCAAAAATGGATGATTCACTAAAGTAACTAAAATATTCAAAGATAGAATATTAGCTGTATGGACATTTTCGTATATTGTATTGTATGTCTGTCAAGAAGTGGAAATGTGAAATAAAAGGGTTGGTTGAAATTCATCACTTGACATTGCACACAAATTTCGAATTGAGTTTTATCCTCAAAAATACATTCAAGATTTTCGTTTCCTATTTTTGATTTACAGCATGCTCGAAACTAAATATTTTCATTTAAACAAGATCATAAAATCTCAAACGAGGATTTAAATATGGTTCCAAAACATCCCAAAAGTTCGAAGAGAATCAATTGAATTGAAACGATTGAAACGCTGGGTTGAAATCTTTTTAGCGAGTAATTATCTTTTGTCCCCCATTGAAGAGCCTCCCAACCAGAAACACCGCATTTGAAAGAGACAATGTCAGCACTTCCTGTGCAAAATAGTCATGGCTGTGCCATGAAAATCCCACCTGCCACTCAACCAATTCATCCCACTAATTGTTGTCCCAACATTGCACATTTTCAGTGCTTCACACTGCAAAGTTTCCGCGGACTCTCGCGCGCATTTGTGGCCAAACAAATGATCAGACGCCTGGAGAGAGAGAGAGTGCGGATTGCGACTGTGACGATGAGGTGCATGAAGGCGGGGAATCTCCGGTTGTGCGAGAAAAGGCGGTGCCTTCCGTGACTCTGTTGCCACCAGAGCTCCACATTTCTCGGCCAGAAGCGCGTCCGGAAGGTAGCAAGAAAAAATACTTCCCGGATCCTCGAGGATCGCTCGGGTTGTGACAAGAGCCTGGCAAAATGTTTAGAGAGCAAGATGTTCTCCTTCGCCGGCTTCTTTGTCCTGCTTTCCACCGTGTAATTGAGACTAATTTCTTGTTGAGCCATTCCAATCCTTCAGCGTCTCCTCCTCGATCGTCTTGCGCTTTAATCAGGAAAGTGTCAAATGTACCAAAGCATGCCGCGCCCGATCTTTTATTAATCACCATCAGCTCCGTCATCTTTCGCTTCTCCCGGCTCATCTCCTGCTGCTTCCAATTCACTTTCCGGGAGCCACAACTCGTTCTCACCCGCCGCTCTTCCCTGTCTTTTCTTCCACCTCTGCCTCTTGTTAGTTATCGCATTCATCGGCAATTCCCTATTCATTCGCCACCAGATTCCCTCACAACAATGTGCACAAAAATTAAATAAGAGAAAATTGCCCGCCCCTCATTTCTCGGCATTCATCCACCTTCCAGCCCGTGATTTTGCTCTATCATTTGAGCTCAGCCGCCGCTGTGTTTGTTTTCTCATCACCCGCGGCTCCTGGGACAACATGAGATGCCTTTTTTGCCCAACTAACTAGGGATTATTCAATAAAGTCGCTTTTAATTAGGAAACGCCGCCCCAGCTCTGCCCTTCGGACGCCACTCGCCTTTTCCACCTCAAATCCCATCAACAAACACCAAATTATCAACACCAGTGCCGCGAAAAGAATAAATTATGCTTAAGGCCTTTAATTTTCTCAAGGTGTGAAAATGTGCATAATAATCTTCATGATTTTCCTGATTTTGCCAAAAAAAGCGCCTAAAATGTAAGGTTATGTCAAATGATAACTCACATCAATGTTGGAAAAGCATGTACTGCACATCCTAGATCATATCTTAATGTACATTTACGTATCAAATTTTACCTGAAGAAGGCACATTCATAGGATTTCAGAGCAAAACAAACAGAGAAAAACACTTATCAATGGAAAAAGCAGAGCATCTTCTGAACCACTACGCCACCTCGTAACAGACACTCTAAACCGAGCATTCCCGATTCGACGCTTTTCGCTGTCACCCAATTTCAAAAACATCCGCATGACTTTATAAGAGATTTCGTAGGACATTATTCTTGAATTGGCTAAAAGATATTACTCCGATTTTCCGTCCTGTAGATGCTGAATATTAATAATTTTACTTACGACTCTCCCAGTAGAGTAATTGGGAAGAGAATTTTTAAAGGTGAGAATATTGTTGTCCGCGTTATCTTACAATTACTATCCTTATCTCGTGTATAAATTATCAAAATTGTCTCTAACTTTGTTAAAGAATGGAACAGCTAAAAGAAAATAACCATAGGAAAACAATTAATTAGCAATGAAAAAATAAACATATTAGCAGGCGATTCGGATCTTAAATGAATCCAGTCATTTCATTAGACGCTTCCGAGTTGATATTGGACATCTTCTATAGTTTTCGACAGAATTTTCAGCGCTTGCTTTACCGGGAGATTTTGTTGTGTCAAGCTGTCAAAGTTATCGCGTGGTGAAGAACACACTGGGGAGATTTTTGTGCATTTATCTTGTGAAAAACCCGTGTAAATCCTTCAAAATTCATCGAAAAGAGTGCTCGAACGCGTGAGTAAGGTGTGAATGGTGGAATCGGCGGTGTGAGTTGTGGTGAGACGGAGAGAAACTCTGAAAAGTGCTTGGAAAACAATGTCCGAATGCAAACGTGTTTTCATCGCTTGATTCCATTATTGGTGCTTTGCAGCATTTCCCGCCGGATTTGGATGCTTTCTGCTCGAAATTCCAGGCTAATTTCACGCAATTTTAGGTGAGTGAGTCTACGGGGCGGGTCACGAGGGGCGCCCCAGTGGGATTTGCATGTCTCAAGGGCGCCCCGGTTTGAGGCAATCGTGTCAATTGAACGGGCAATTTTAATGGCAGATTTGAAGACGCACTTTGAAATCGTCATCTTGGAATTGTGCGAAGGAAAAAAACAGCACCAATTATCTCGTGCTGCTTCGCATTTTTTGGCTGAATTTTAAGTAGAGATAGTGTGCGGGGAAATGCAAAAAATACACCGAATGATTTCAGAGTAATTTTCACATTGTGATTTTTTGCTTGAATTTCCTTAGCAGAGTCCTTAAGGGCGGAAAATAGTGTCGAGGAAAAATCAATAAATTGCAGTGTAAGGAAACACCTCAACTTCTTACTGTTACCTCACGATGAGACTGATGGAAAATTGCAAATACTCGCAAATTGGAATAAATTTAGCAATTTTCATAGGGCAAAAAGGGAAAATTCAAGGTTGGTGTACACACTTGGTACACACGCATTTCTGAAGTGCTTGGATGATTTGTTTGTTAGTTCAGTTAATCATCGCAATATTGATATAGATAATTATAATTAATAATATAGATGATTAAATCAAGGATAACATTTAATAAAATTCTCTCTGATCTCCTGATGGAGAAATTATAAAATAAATTTCTACATTTGACAATATGAACACAGTGGGATTTGCTGTTAACACAAAAATCACTTATATTCTCGCCTTGGTTGGGCGGTAGGAAACTCCCGTCTGCCTCTTACTTCCTTGCGCTGTAAGATTCACCTATAAAAATGCGACTGCATAATACAGTCAAGAAGTATGCGCGAAATGGTGATTTTTGCTAAAAGAGGCGAATCGGAAAATGAATTAAAATTGATTGTGCTTGCACACAAACACAGTCACGAAGGAATCATTGACTCTGTCGCGCCGTTTCTCATGACCACAAATAAATTTTGATGTGTTACTATATCAAAAAGGAGTGTGTTCGGCGCTTCTCACAATTGGAGAACATTTCCCACTCAGTTGAGCTACGATCATCGGCCAGTGAACAACGCACTCAGCAATATTCTCTCCTTTCATCTTTATCCGTGGCACATGAGAGTTTTGCACATTCAGCGAAACTTCTCACTGTATTCTGTGACTGTGAGAAAATAATTTCAGCACAGACAAATGGCTCAGTGTGTCCAGAAAGTGACGACAAGGTGATTTGAAACAGGAAAAAGGGGGTTAGAATTGTTAGAACGGTTGCTGTGGATGCTTTGCAGGAAGTGAATAGAAAAGCGGAAAGCAAAGTAGGGTAATAAAAAAAAAGACAGAAGCATCGAGTGTTCAACTCGGGTTAAAATTCATGCACGTAATTGAAAATCGATCGTGTGTGAGTCAGAGGAGTTTCCTCACTAAACAAACCCTGTCTCAGGTGCAGTCGGGAGTTGGAAAAGCCGAGGGAGAATCACTCAGAAATCCCGCATGTTGGGTGAAAGACGACGTGCCCAGAGTTTTGTTGCAAAATTCACAGACAATTAGTCGCTAAAGTGTGAAAGAGAATCTATTATTAAAGTGGACAGTTTCGACGAGACGAGAGAAATCAATTTGTGTGTCTTGCAGTTTGGAAAAGTGGTCAAAATGCCTGGATCGAGCAACAAGACAGTGAAACCGCTGGTTTGTAGTCAAAAATATTTTCTCATAACTTAAATTCTTCGTATTTTGAGTATATGCAAATTCGCGAGACAAGAAAACAAGCCTGTTGTTTCTCCACCTTGCAATGTGACAGAGAAGAGGATGTGAAAGAGAAAAATTCCCCAGCGACGATTTATTAATCTCAGTCAGTGCCAAAGAAAACAGAGGAAAACTGAGGAAAGGAAAGTAGAAAGTGTATCAAAGAATATATTTTCTACTGTGGCGGATAAAATCCATTAACCCTCAATCAGAACATTGATTCTTTTCAATAGAAATACATTATTTAGATACGCAGATTGGAACAAACATTACACTTTATTATATTTGTTGTTGCTAGATATGCTAGAGCTTCGGATTGCAGAATGGATCACACAAACCCTTTGGAAATGTTCATTTAGAAACTGAAATGCTTCAGTCTTTGAACTTCTGAAGCAATTAGCACAATTACGTTCCAGTGCAATTTCAACATCGCAAACTATGCTGAAAATCAATAAGAGCACCAATCAAATGGAAAATTCATCTCTGCTGTGTGCATTAAATTGTTAGTGCAGAGTATACATTTTTTGCCAATTTGCGCGTCAAATTGTTTAATATCATGGGAGAATTGGTGTCAAAAAGCACACTCATTGTGGCACAGTGTCAATTTCTAATTACATTTCAATTGTAAACTAATTTTCTATGTCAATTCGCTTGTTGTTCGAAAATTAATGGGTTAGCATTTGACTTTGATTCTTCAACTTGTCCTACTCACACAGAACGCAGAATGTATGATTCCCTCTGGCTTTTAATTAATTGTGATGTTTAATCAATGTGATCTTCGTGAGCGGCTTAATTGGGTCACGCGCACGAATTTGATGGGGGAGAAGAGTTTGCATTGTGTTCGGGAAATCACATGATAAATTACAATATAGGCAGAATTCCTTCAGGACTTTTTTTATCCCTTTTTTCATTCCTGACATGAGCTTTCCGGCAATTCCTCATGCTTCTTTTCACCCTTTCCAGTGTGTAATGATTTTTTCTTTTTTGCATTTTCCCTTTTGGCATTTCACTTTTGGGCTCCCACGCCATCAGGGAAAATTGGATTAAATGGGGAGCAGTTTGAGCATAGAAGAAAAGGTGTATTGAAGTGAGGGAACTTCGGGAATTTATTCCGCAGTATAAATTTTCTCTCTGGAAAAATTCACAAAATTCCCAACATTCACGATACAAACATTTATAAATTGGGTGAGTGGCAGAAAAATTGGCATGGGAAAATATGAATTTACTACCATTGAATTATTATATAGTTTAAGGAACGAAGTTAATGCAAATTGCCTCGCAATAACTCCCCTTTTCGGGTAAACAATCACATAAAAAGGAAAGAAAATGTATGAAACTTCCGGGACAAATTGAGAAAATTGTATTTCTTTTAAAAACTTTATGATCCCTATCAAATATTTTTTGTAATTATTGTGGAAACAAAATGCGAAGAGAATCGCACACTTCTTCTGTGGCTCATAATTCAGAGAACGTTGCTATGGATCATTTTGCTAACTCACTAATAAGAATGTGTGAAAGATTTTGAAATATTTGTTGATGGGGTGAGAGACGAAAAAAAATAATGTGACAGGATATATTTTATAATTCAACACAAATTTTGCAATGAAGAAAAATCCGTGGTTCATGATTTATTTTTAAAATACTTTAACATCCCGCCCTCGTGTCGGACTTTTTCTTTTTCCTCCTCATTTCTCAACACGAGTTTGCTGTCTCAACTTCCCGAAATTCATGCGTACGAAAAAAATAGTCATGTATATGAACATCATCTTCAATCATAGCCAAAATTTGGAATTTTTCCTCTCGTGCGCGACAAATGCCACAAATATAAGGAGGGACAATAAAATAGTTATTGAGATGCGCGTCATTTTATAAATAGAGACACTTGTTCTGAGAATAAATTGCCACTGAATGTGAATAAGTCTATTAAAAAAAATCTCTCTCTCCTTCAAACAACCACTTTTTCTGTGCTCTCTTCTACACATTTTCACATCATCGCTCCTTTGTGCGTTTTTCATCAGCATGGATTCCTCCTTCTTGGATTAGAATAGAAACAAGAAAAGCAATATGTTGAGTTTGGTGAGAATCTTAAATTGTCCGATTGAGCGTAAATTTATGAAGTGTGACTTTTACGATGTTTTTCTACAACGAGTTGGTCAGCATTTTTATCATAGCAACAAAACGAATTAGCTCATTTGATAGTCTTTAATCATATTTCTAGCATTATCATATCAGTATGAGATGAAAAGAAAGGAGGAAGAAATTAGAAGAGAATTCTTGCAGTGTCTTTAAGCAAAAGATAACGTAATGTTTCAGCACCAATCAAGTAATTGGAATGCAATGAGTCATTCTCAGAGTAGGAGCTGAAATTCGTGGCACTTCAGAAGAGCATAAATTCTAATAAAAACTACGAATAGTCATACAATGTTTGAGACACTTGTGATCGCTATGACATTGCCAAAAGAGGATTTTCCCATGAAAGTGTTAATTGATATTAATTGCTGTGTTTTTGTTCGCAGGAGGTTCACAACAATAACACCAACTCCAGCACTAAGAGCAGTGGCAAGAAGATGGACTACGGCGCGGCGCAGAACGGGATGTCCAATGGAGGCGGTGGTCAATTCGGCGGGCAGCAGCAGAAGGTGACTCTCAGGAGGCGCTGCCGCAGTGAATGCCACCAATTTGTGGGTGGCGATGAGGCTTCAGATGCACTGAATAACTTTCCGGCGAAGACGAACCACTTGCTGGGACAAGAGATGAAGCACAAAGGCGGCGGCGCGATGCGGAATGGCTTTCGCGCGAAGTACAGTCCGCCGCGTCACATGGTGGCATCGCGCAAATTGCTGGCACTCACCAAGGAGACCCACGCGCAGAATGTGATAAGAGAGTTGGATGGCGAGAGCGAGGATCACATCAAAGAGAACATATCTGAGTACACGCTGAAGGGTGGCAGGAAGGATCACGGCGAGGCGGTGACAGAGCAGAAAATAGCGTGCGGGGATTTGCATAAGAGACGCACGCGGCCAAGAAGTGAATCGGAGCCGCATGAGATCTACAAGACCACAAATGGAATTGATAAAAATAGAAATGATGATGTAAGTGTGTGTGATCTTTTTTGCGCAATAGCGCACGTGTCCTGGTATTTCGCGATGACGCCCACATCATCAATTACACTGCCCACCCCTGAATTTTTGGGAGGAAATTGCAAACAATCTCGTAAATTGTGTGAGACAATTGAGCCAAACTATTTTTGCAGTGCACGAAATTCTCTATCGTTCACTTATAAATTACCAAAAACACTTAAAAATGAGGAAATTTTGAAAGAAAGGATTCTCCTTAGTTACTCAAAATGTAAGAATTTCGATAATTTTGATTCTGTATTGCAAAATTATATTATAAACTTTTTTTCTTATACGTTTCAGTGCAAAAAATTTGATGTATTTTCCTGTTAAAAAAAATATTTGTTCATAGAAGAAATTAGAAATTTAATTTGAGAAACATTTTGTTGACAGGAGAAAAAAATTAAAAGCGCATCAAAAGCTAAGAATGTACGTTGTGTAAAAGATCAGTAAATAGTCATAAAAATACACCGAAATAATTTTGCAATCAACTCTAAAATTTATAATTTTATAGCTAATATAAATCTTGTGTATTTTCATCACACACGAAAGTCATCTTGAATTTAGCTTTTCGCACTTTCCGGAAGAATGTGGATATTTTTGCGGTGTATTTTTCGTGCTTTATCATGTAAAAAAAAAATTGACTAACAATTAACTGAAAAATACAGAGACTTTTGCCAAGAGGTTGTTTTACCCATTTTTCTAATAAATCACAAGAAGTTTTGTTCTCTTGACTTTGAAAAATAATTTTGCAAAATGATCAGTGTGCGATATAAATAAGTATTAAAAGTGTAGCAAGTAAATTTTATCAATTTCTTAGAGAATTTATCTGTGGATGAAATGCGGAAGAGGAAATGAAGAATTCAATGATTGATGTGGAGAGAATGCACAGTATTTTGATTGCTCAAGATTCCGATCGAGGTGATGATGATGATGTGATCTTTTCTCTTTGCAGATGGCACTCAAGCGTTCGCGTGAAGAGGATTCCCCGCCGATGCATTATCAGCTGAAGCTCTCCAACGGCAATCACGCAGTCCCTGCCTTTCCTGTCGAGAAGAAGAGTCCGCCGGCATCACCGCGCAAGGTGAATGGAAGTTGCGACGTGAACTACTCATCGGCAAAAGTGACTGTGATGAATGGTGAGCGGCAGGAGGCGCAGAAAGCCGCTCCGACTGCTCGGGATGCGGTCAAAGATGTGGAGGACTCGCACTCGGACATGTCAGACACAGAGTGCAGTAGCTTAGACGGTGACGCCATGGCGGACTTTGACGAAGAGGACGTCTATGATCTGATGTCGCAATCTGAAGATGTGGACGGTGATAAGATGTTCAGTGCCAACATATCTGTGGCGATTCAGAGCAAAGTCAATCTACCGCCCATTGAAGCTCATCAGGCGATTGTGGCGGAGCCGGAGGTGAATTTTACGTCAACTGCTGGACCAATATCACCCAGTATGTTTCCCAATGTGCCACCGTTTCTCACCTTTGCTTCGGACACGGATCCAGGACCACAAATGCATCCGCTGGTGACGAAAATACTCAAGTGGAAGGTGACTGCCGTGACGCCGATTGTCGTGAGGAAGGTTCTTCTCAACTCAGGGTTTAGATTACTCAAGCGTAAGTGTTGCGATGTTGCCTAGGTGACTCAATTTCTGCATGCTAAACAATTGGAAGCACATAGTATTTGGAAAGTACTTTTTTTCCTGCTGGTATGCAAATTTAAAAATAATTTTATCAATCACCGAAATGCATTTCGTGACGAGTTCTATTTGTCTAATACGTCAGGAAAGTCACTCAATTTGGGTGTTGTTATTATGTTACATACATTGAATTCCAACGATTTATTAATCTCTATTCTGTGCTTTATTCTTCTGTAGAAACAAATGACTGGATCGGTATATGGGGAAAGCACATGAAAAGTCCACAATTTCGCACAATTCGCTCGTATCAGAAGTTTAATCATATTCCGGGCACATTTCAAATTGGCCGAAAGGATCGCGTATGGAGAAATTTGCAGCTTCAGATGGCACGCAATGGCAAGAAAGAATTTGGTTTCATGCCACGCACTTACATTCTGCCACAAGATCTGAAAACACTGCGTCAGATGTGGCCACGATACAGTCAGCGTGGTGTGAAATGGATTATCAAGCCGCCGGCATCGGCACGAGGAACGGGAATTAAAGTGGTCAATCGGTGGTCACAAATCCCCAAGAGACGTCCTATTATTGTGCAGCGCTACGTGGAGCGCCCGATGCTTATTGACGGCAGCAAATTTGATCTTCGCCTGTATGTTCTGGTAACATCCATGAATCCGCTGAAAGTGTATATGCACACTGATGGTCTGGCAAGATTTGCGTCTGTGCGCTACAGTGAGAAAGTAGACACACTCAACGATCGGTAAGTCTGGAATTTCTATAGTGTTAGAGGATTGAAAATGATATTAATATTGACTATTTTCTTAACAGGTTCATGCATTTGACGAATTACAGTATTAACAAGTTCTCAGCCAATTATGCCAAAAATGAGGATGCTGAGGCGTGCAAGGGTCACAAATGGACAATTAAGTCACTGTGGAGCTACTTGGAGGCGGGTGGTGTGGATACTGAACGTCTCTGGGGTGCTTTGAGGAATCTCGTGATTCGAACATTGCTCGCCGGTGAGACACCGATTCACAATCTCACCAAATCCAACATGCTTTGCAAGTACAACTGCTACGAACTCTTTGGCTTTGACGTTCTTCTGGATTCGGATCTCGTGCCGTGGCTACTGGAAGTGAACATTTCGCCATCACTGCACTCTTCCTCGCCGCTTGATCTGCACGTGAAGGCACCTCTCGTGAGAGCCACGCTGAACACGGCGCTATATCAAGTGCCGCCGAAATTGGCGGAGGACAAGCAGCAGGAAGTGGCGCAGTCGCTAAATTTGCAGGGATCGTTGTGTATGGACAAGAGGATGTACACGACCACATTAGCCAGGAGTGAGAGGATCAAGCACAATCACTTCACCGGCAGGGAGTTGAACAGAGAAGACGTGAGTGATAATATTAACTGGAGAAAGAGAAATTTTTAGAATCACCCAAGAAAATTTGCAAATATATCAACTGATTATTTGATGCATTTGGTTTATTAGATAAACTTTCAATTTATATTCCTGCAGTACCTCGAGAGCATCTTGGACAATCTCACAGCGGATGACGTGCGATGTCTGATCCTTGTGGAAGAGGAGTTGACTCGCTGTGCTCCGCTGGAACGGATCTTTCCGGCTCCGAACAGTCACAAGTATCTCAACTACATGGACAATCCGCGCTACTACAATCGCCTCCTGGACGCGTGGGAGACGAAGTATGCCGGCCGTCGCGAGGAGGGCATCGCGCGGCTGCAGGATTTGTGTGCCAAGAAGGTACATCTGCAAGTATCGCCGGCGTCCATGAAGAAGGTGAGTCAAGTTGTGAAATGCTTTGTGTTTCCACTGTAGAAGGAAACAGACTTGTGAACAATTGCGCTGATCAAGTGCCTCTCATGGAAATTAACAACTTTATATCTTCTCTAAATGAATGTGCTTAAAAATTTACATGTCAATTTTGTGTGTTTCTATAACAAACGATGTAAAAAATTGAGGGCGTTTGGAGGGCTTTTCGGTCACTTTACTGGCGCTACAGAGACTTGAATCTTCGTAAGTGTAGGCCTCAAATGTTAACGTAGAGGCAGAAAAAAAACCTTTAATGAAATATACAGATATCAAAAAATATACCTACTCATGACACTCACACAAGAAACCATTTTGAAAAGATTTTGCGTGTAAAATGAAATAAAAGTTACAAAACTTAGATATTGAATATTTGTAAGTGTGTGATTTTTTAAAATAGATATTTTCAACTATTCTCTGTGTACCTTTAAGAGCCTATACCTATTTCTTTTTCTAGAAAGACACTAAAAACCTTTAAAAAAGAATAAAGAGAACAAGTCACAGAAATATACAGATTTTTTAATAGAGGAGCTGCCTAAATGTGTGTGTAATTCTTACAAGAAGCTTTACTGCCTCATAAAGAAAAAAAAACCTTCCAATAATGCAAAAATCATGTTTTTAATGGATGTTTGTGCCTCATAAACATTAGGTAATATCAATTTTATACTGTTCTGTTTATTTTTCTTTTCAAAGTTTTTCACCCACCTTTGCAAAAATAGCTTTTTTACATACATAACTAGAATTTATTACGAATTTCTAAGAAAAATTACAATTTAGTACTAGTTTTAGTGACGATGGAAAAACTTCTCATTTTAAGAGAAAAGCATCAATTCACAATGAAAAACACCCACATTCACGATTGATTTTATTATATATTTCCAGTGAAGAAAGAAAGAATATAATTCAAGTGTCATTTTTGTGGTCTATCTCTTCCTCGCAGGCCAATTTTAGTCGAATCAGTGCCATGGATTCACCATTGAAATGCCGAAAATGGTCTAGAAAGTTTCCCCGTTTCAATGCAACATGTCTCCCAAAAATTACAGGGCGGAGATTTTGTAAAAATAAGACGAAATAATGCCTTAAATATCGGATATTGGAAAAGATTTTTGAAATGAAAGCAAAAGAAGGAAAATGAGAAATTTTACGGGATCTTTAGCTGTGGAAACATGTAGATTTTTCGCAATTATTAAAGTAGAATTTTGTAGAATTTATTCCCTCTATAAATTGGAAAATGAAAAAAATATATGAAAATTTTATAAAATGTACAATATTTAGTTGTTTTGTTTTAGAAACTTTTTACTTCAGCAAATGAGCATTTGCTGTAAATTTACTATCACCACTTTTCTCAATTGAGAATTGATAGAGTGTATTTTTGTTCTTAGTTCGTTTGATATTTTTTCATACCCTTTTCTCAATTTGTTTGTCTTGATTTTGTTGATCTTTGTTTTGCAATATGATGCGAAAGTCTGACATTGTGCCCCGATATTGTAGGATTGCAACAGTAAAATAGGAAATGGTGAGTCCAGCGGGGAGACTGTTGCGAGTCTGCTGACGGATGAGGACTCAGAGGACGAGAGGCAGAGCAGGAAGTCGCCGGCGAAGACGCTCGTGGACAATAATGATGGGAAAAACCACCAAAATGCCATTAGAAATGGGATCAGAACAACTCTGGTGAGTAAAAACAGCCATCTTTCTGTGCCAGTCTTTTCAATCCTGATCTACCGATAATAAACCCTTTTTTCCAAATAAATTGCGTTTTTATTTAGTAATAAACCTCAAACATGAGTCTAAACTTTTGTATTGTCTCTTTCCAGTGACGAGGCCTCAAGACTGACACGATGTGTTCTATATAGAAGATAAAGGCGATGAATTCGAACGTAGATACAAAAGAGGAGTCTAAAAAGGAAACACTGTAGAAGGCAAATTCGTGTAGTTAAGGGATAAAAGACATCGTAAGCGAATTTAGAGCGTTTAAAAATTATTGTAAGATTGCTAAATATGTGTTGAGAAATATATTTTTAACTACACTTCATGTGGGATTTTTCGAATCATATTTTCGCGCGGTTGAGGGAATCAAAGGTGGCTGTGAAAAGCATTTGTTCGCTATTTTCCACCATTTTCGTGTGTGATCTTCTTCAATGAAGTCGGAAAAGATTGGAAGTGCTTCTGGAGAAGAAACTGGGAAGTCTGCAAGTTCCTTTAGCTTCATGGCGACGTACAACGATCTAGTGAAATCCAAGATGGAGGCAAATAAGGAGGGAATTGTGAGTGGTGAGCAGACGAGCATTTTTTCGTCCATGAAAAACTCTTCTGGCGTCTCTCTTGAGTCACTCTTCCATTCCAAATCCTTCTTGTTGTCTGAGAACGAAATAGATCTCTCAATTTTTGGAGGAAATTCACTAGTTCCCAAGAATCCTGGAGTTACAACAATGGCCAGTGAGAAAGCATTTGAAGAGTGTAGGGATGCTGAGTCCTCGTGCACTTCTATGGATATTCAGAGGCGTCTGGAGCTGCTTGGAATTGAGGCAAAACAAGAGGAATCCGGTGAGAACGACATGAAGATGGAAATGGAAGAAAGCGAGGAAGAGGCAATTATGTTCAGCGATCGAGCTCATCTGTATCACTTTGATGCAACAATCCTCGAGTGGAAGCACATAGGTGAGGCTGAATTGACGGTCCTCTTCTATCCGAGGACGAGCTCCAGATTCCTGCTGCGCTGGGGGGAAATCCCCATGCAGTTGAACTGCACCATCACGCCGGACTTTAAAATCACACCAAGGGAAACCGGGGAATCCTATTACTTCATCGCTAACATTCAAGGCGTCACCGAACATCTGACCGTTCGATTCCGCGATCTGGATATCGCCTGCCAATTCGAGAAGATGATCAAGGAGTGCATCGAAATAGAGCAAGACCTGAACAATTTGTAATTTTGCGAACTAATTTGACAAATGTATTAAGCACTGAATTAACAATAAATCGCAACGACATCTCTATGTGCAGCCCGGAAAAGGTTCTGTTCGGTTCTTCCGGAGAACAAACTGGATCTTCCTGTCCATGTCTTCATTGTAGATGGATTTACATTTCTCGAAGTTCACCCGGCGTCGTGTCTGCGAGATAGACAGAATTTCATTAGAGAGGCTCAGAAGTACTGCGGGGAAGGGAAAACACTTGCTTGGAAAGGTTTCTCATAGTAGCGTGTCCTCCGGTACTGATCAAAGAAGCCCTCTTTACCCATAATCCTATTCAGCACTCTGCAAGCGTCGTCCACGTTGTTATTTTGCACCATTATAGTGCGAGCGATGAACTTAACATGCCGCATCTCACTCGCACACGGGAAATCCCAGATCCTTCAGGAAAATAAGTATTTTCTGCGAATATGCCTAAACACGCCTTTGTGAGGTTATGACACCGCTGTGTGATATGCAGCTATCTTCAAGTGGCCACAATTACAGTGTTCGAAAGCGCAAAGGCGGGTAATTTGAATTCTCCGAAGATAGAATTTTTTTTTGCAAAAAGCTAAAATTTCATTTTGATTTTGCAATTAGATGTGTTTTCACACAGATAATGGTTTTTGTCAATTTGCAATTACTAGGTTAAAAAAAACTCACTTTTAATTGTATATATAAGTATATATTTCGATTAATTAATGCTTAATTGTGTAATTTATCAGTTTAATTGTTCCAAATAGTTCTACACTAATGCGAAATTACTTTAAATATTTATCCTTTATACAGAATAAAATTGGTAAATCATGTCACTTCCACGATTGATCGGTTACAATTGCAAAGCCAATAAACGGCCCTCAATATATTCACTATAATTATATATTTCAATTTTCCATGCTATTTTCTCTCTTTTTTTATATCAGTGTCATGTAATTTTACGACTATCTTGCTTTTGTGATCCTTTTTGTTTGCACACTTGTGTATCTCTTGAAATATTACAAAATATGCGAAGCCATTTTCACTTTTTCTATTTCTCTCACAAAAATATGTTTGTTTTCCCAGAGTCATTTTGCATTTTATTCGCTTTATCCTCCAAAAACCATCATTTCGTCTCTCTCTCTGTTTCTTTTCTTTTTTTCACTAATCGCTTAATGAGTTTAATAAGTTAATTTCTATGGCGCTTCTGTTCATACTTTAGTGGGTTTGAGTATCAAAAAGGATTTGTATAAAGAACTCTGTTGCTTCTTGTTCGACATCCAGAAGAAATATATCCAAGGAAAAGGCACATAGAAGTTTTTACATTTCCTTCCCTTCCTCTTAGATTCTTTTGTTTTGTTTTTCATCGTTTTTAGTGGACAGTTTTTTCTAACTTTCAGCTGCTATTTTAACTATGAATTTGTTTTGGCAGTGAATTCGAGACTTTTTCAGCAGAAGAGAATTTATATTTTATTATTGCAATTGAGTGTGATTCATTTTCCTGCTAATTCTGTCTGTTTCTCTTTTTCCTTTACCCTATTTGCCAAATATCGCGATAGTTTTTGCTTAATTACAAAATTCACCTGTAGACACTTTTTTGCTGAGTAAGAAACAAAAGAAAAAATATTTTTTGGAGATGCTTTTCATATCTTTCGCCTCACATCAAAATGATTTGCATTGCAAAGAAACACAATCAACAAAATGTACTTCTTTACACTTAAAATGTATTCTAAAGTACACTTTATCGAATGAATCTTTGCAAAAGCCAACGCTAATCCGATTTATTTTCACAAATACACAACTTCTAATCATTCTACTTTCCATCCATTTTTTTTGGATAATATTTCCCATTAATTTTGCGATACTTTTGCGTAATTCTACATTTTTTGCCTTTCTCTTCATCCTTTTGAAAACAGATTTATACAGATTAAAATGTAGCCAAATTGGTGATATATTTATTACTCCAGATAATCTGATATTTTTCCAATAGAACATTTTTGCCAATTAGGTTTAAAGAGAAAAATATGTACAATTATTTCATGCTCTTTGCAACCTTTCATCGAGTTTCTTCTTTTTTTTTACTGTACAGTTTTATATCTTAGTTCAATTTTATATTTCATGCTTTTTTGTCCTTTACACTTTATATTGGCAGTGAACACTGGTCATAGTATTACTTTTTGCAATTTATCCATATCCAATCTTACATCACCTTCGCTTAGTATCTCCAAAATAACATTAAATTTTTCAATATGTTCAAAAAGAATTTCATCCAATTTTTTAATAAAGTAGATCCTTCTCTTTAGCTTTGTGCCGAGATAACGCTAATTTTATACATTTTTTCTTATTCACTTTTTGTCGTGCTTTCGCAACATTTTTTTCGATTTTTCTCGCTCTCCACTCATTTCCTTACTCATTTAAAGACTTCTTCTCAATTAATTTAACTATTTACACACACACACACACACACTCAAAATACCTATAATTTTCTTAGAAAGAAAAAAAAACTTTCTTCTTTATTGAGATCGCAATTTTAATAGTTTTCTATACAAGGATCATTCTTCGTCATTTCACGTATTCTTTTCACTATTCATTTCTTCGTCATCATTTTTTATAAAGCGGTGGTACTTTTCGTAATTTCATCCTCTCTTCTCTTCACTTTCCGCCCTTTTCCGCAACTCTTGCTTCATCTTTTTTTGTCAATAATTAAACATTTTACATAAATTAACACTATATTTTTGTCCACGAGAACTTATTTCGTTAATTTGATAATTTAGTGAACACACCATTTTCCAATTTTGCAGTCATTTTTCAAGTTTTTACCCTTTGTTTTTTTTCTCGAAATACATTAAAAAAGAATCCATTCTGTAAATTTCGACGTGCATTTTTTTTGGTTTCTATTCTTCATTCTTCTAAGATATTTTCGTTTGCAAATTATTTCTTCTTTTCTTCAGTTGTTGCCCGTAATATCGAAATTGCTTCATTTTTCACCTAGTTGTTTTATTAGCCTAAAAACTATTTTGTGTTAACTTACAAATCGTAGATTACTTGTTTTTTTTTCTCCAGATGATTTCCCGTACTTCAGCTTTTTCTGTTCTTTCTTTTTTACTTATTATTCAATATAGTATTTTCATATGAGAAAATAATGGTGTGACTAATTTACTCTCTAAATATTCTTCATGAGGTAATAAAATGGACATAATCTTACTATCTAAACTCCTTCTTTTCATCAATTTATATAAATAAGTTTACTTGCGAATATTTTGCTCATCCATTTCACTCTTATACTTCCACTAGTTTTACCATAAATCCTACTTATATTTCTTATGAATACTTCTTGTCATTCATCTACGCAATTTCACTCTCATCCTAGCGAATAAATACATATAACAGAAAAGAAGACTTTTCCACCTAATTATGGATTTATCAGTTATTTATCGCATAATTAATATTCACATCTAAAGATTTATCAATGAGGACACAATAAATTAATTTTAGAAATACGTGTGACACATGAAGAATAATTCTAATACAATATAAAGATCTTCAAGAAAGACTTGTCAATATGATTCTTTTCTTTTCACTTACTCTTCTGAGCACTCATCTATTATCCGTTGAGTAAAAAAGACGTTGCAAGAAACACTTCAGTAAAATGAGCCTGCGTCTCTTCTGATGATGGAAATTCATCCAATTCCAGCTGTTACGACGACGACGTCGTCGCCACGACGGGCGCAACGATCTGTTGCGGCGGCGGCGGATGCAGAACGAAAGCGTCATAAACTTGCGTGAGTTCACTTAATCGATATTCCTCGAGGCAGACAAAGCCTTGCAGCGAAGGCGTCTGCTTCCGAGCACAGCCTATACAGTGAACAACATGGCGTTTCTCCTGCTCCCGAATGAACAGCACATTGAAGACTTCCAGCTGCAAAACACCACCACAAAAGAACATTAGCACAAATTTTCATGTCGCGTCCACTCTTTTCTGTCGAAGATACTCACTTCGCATTGACCACAGTAGTGAGATGCTTCATTCTTTCCACGTCCATGGAATCTCACTTCAATTCCCTTCGCCTTAACGTAGTCCAGCGTCAACATAACATTCTTTAACGTTTGCAGAAGACAGTTTCTGCAAATAGAAATCACATATGCATAAGTTCAGTGATAATCAGTCTTTAAATAGCTGTACACTCACTTGATTAATTCGAAGAGTTTAGGATCGGACACTTTAATATTCCTGGCCAGATTCCAGCTCAGGTGCACCATTGGCACAATACTCTTAAAGCTCTGCAGCTTATTCCACTCATATCGCTCAATGCCCAATTGATACTGTCGCGCCGTGAGCGGACCCACATTCCACGCGATATTATTGCACCATCCAATGGCCTGCACCCAATGAACGCAGCTGCAATAGAGCAAAACAGTAGTCAATACACGCTCAAACCACTGCCAGTAAAAGAAGGCCTTTGAACTCACCCAGCATTCACCCAGACAAGATCACCAGGACGCTGAATGAATCGATACACCGGAATATTGGCCTTATAGAGATCCTCAAGCAGCGGCCACCACGATCCGTGCAGATAGTTGATGTTATTCTTGTCACATTGAGCGTGAATGCCACCCCAGTAAGCGTCCGGCACGGCGAACCACTCACAGTCACCAGGACCGATATTGATGTTGATCGAGCAGAAATTGTTGTTCTCCTGATGACCCGGCGTCCGACTGCCCGGCACCTTCATGTACAGCTGCACCGTGTTCATGCCCAAAATCACATGTCCAACATGCGACAGCATATTGGCGGCACTCACAACACGTGCAAACGCTGGTAACTTCTGCAACTCCTGCAACTGCGGCTTCCACTTGCGCTCATCCGACAGATCGACATTCGTGCCAAATCTACAAGTATAAATGAGAATTTATATGAAACAAAATTCCTTCGACATCTTGATCAAACTAAACTATTCACAATATCGTGGGATTTTGTGGCAGAAACTACTATCAAACTTCACAAAATTTATAAAATATGTGACGCTAGCGAATTTTCCTCCGAGACACTCTCTTTCTCTTGCATTTCATTGTAAGACATTCAATATATTCTCATATTCGATATATCAAATGATACCTTACAAAAATGCTAATGTGCAACGCTACTTTATGCTAATATAGATTTGCAAACATACCTGAGTGTTTTGGAATTATTCTTGAGTTTCTTCTTCTTTCCATTGGTACCATTATTGCTTACTGAATCTTTGGAATCGGAGTCTGAAAAATTGTGTATTCCAGCAGTTTTATCACGTTCATCCTGTAAAATACAGCAAAAAGGACAAAATGATTAACGAGTTATCATAAGATACACCAATGATAAGCTTAAATTACAAAGAAAGCATCAGTAACTAAAAGATTTCTTCATTCTCAAATCAGTAGAACGAAAGTTTATATTGCACATCATTTTAACCAAAAAAAAATTCCTAATTACTTTCTATAAGTCTAAATCTCTACTAACCTTCAGACTATCTTGAAAACTGGACGCCTGATACTGGGCATACTTTGCAATTGTCGTGTGTGATCTATGGGAAATGCACGCCCACACTCTCTTCGCCTGTCCAATGTCCCAATTCTCATCCGACGACTGATGCATTTGCGTCCTCACCTCGACACTGTGATCCGGATTCGCCTCCACCAGTGTCTTGGTGGAGAACAAACCCAAATCGAGCTTCAAGGCTGCCGCCATGCCGCGTATCACAGCAATTGGGTGCTTCAGACAGAACTCCTGGAGTTGCGGACTGAAAGCGTGCTTCTTGTTCTCCAAGTGCACCGATGGCGTCGGCGGTTGCAGCTGTTCGCGCGACAGACGCTGTGGTGGACAATCCGGTGGACTCGGAGGTGGTGTATCCGGCGCCAAAATGCAGCAAGGCGGCGGAGGTTGTTTGCTATCAATTGATCTATATAAAAAAAAGAAGACCAAAACACCATTAAATCAAGTGCTAAACACAGCAATCACCAACTCGTTTTACTCAAAAAATAATCAGTAAACAAAAAGTGTTCTTTCATGAGATTTCAGTAGAACGAAAGTTGTAAAATAAACATCATTTGAAAGTCAAGAAATCATACAATTGTGTCAGAAACTCACTTGCACATCTCCATAATCTGCTTCGAGTCCATCTCAATGGAGAATCTCGGTTTCTGATCACCCTCAAAGAGTTTCTCAATCTTCAGCACTGGCTCCATCTTGATCTCACGCTTTGGAATGATGGTTTTCACAGGATTACTTGTCGATGTCACCTCACATTTCATCGGTGGAGACTTTTGTGGATTTGTCGTGCTGTCCGCCACCACAGAAACAGGCGTTGTGGCCAGCGAAGTAGGAACATCCGGCACCTCCTCCTTGATCTCAATGTCATCCGATCCGAATTGCTTCAGCAAATCTTCCGCCAGCGTGGTGGCAATATCTCTCTGTGACAGTATCGCCTTCAACTCCTGATCTGTCACACCCAAGTCCGATTGACTGGTGGTGACTATTGGTGAGGCAGAATTCGCCACAAAGTCCTGATGAATTGACATGGATTGATTCCCACTGGCAGCCTTGAATGGCATTCCCGCCGCCGGCTGTGTATGCCCTGTGGCAGCCGGGAAATTGCCTGTGCTATCGGCGAAACCCGTCTGTGCCACGGTTCCCGAGGGCGGAGTCCTTTGCTGCGCCTGAAAACTCGTCCCATTGCTCGTTTGTTGGCCGGGAAAATGTCCCGGTCGTGTTACAGGTTGCTGCCCACCCTGCTGTGCCCTCTGTTGCTGCAATCTCAGCTGATGCTGCTGCATCATGCGGTACTGCTGTGTGAGTTGTTGCAGCAACTCTTGCTGATGCGGTGGCAAATTCGATTGATTCTGCTGAAGATACTGCAACATCTGCAGTTGCTGCTGTGTTAGATAAAACGACGGTTGTCCGGGACGTCGCTGTCCCGCCACTTCCTCCGTCTTGAAGCGCTTAGACGCAATGGGGCCACCCCCACCCGGCGCCTGGGCATTGGGATAGGGCGGCGGTGGACCCACAATCACTTGCTGCTGTCCGCCGGCTGTGGGTGTCTTCTGAAACTGCCGCTGATGATGATTCGCCTGGGCGCTCTGCTGCTGCTGCTGCCTTGAACTCATCTCTGCCGATATTGGTAGATTCCACGCCTCCTCAATCGAGGGCAATTGGCGTCTCTTGGACGTTATACTCGGCATAGGAGCGTGCGCCAGTTGTGACTGCAGAAATTTTATCCTCTGCTGCAAATTATTCAATTTCCCAATCGGTGTCTGACCACCGCCAACACTCGTCACCGATTGTGTCTCTTGCGACTGCTGTTGTGTGCGTGTAGCATTCAAGAAGCACGCAAAGGCATCACGCGGCTGACTGCAGCTCTCGTACAAAATACCCAAGTTCGTCCAAGCCGCCTTGTGAGACTTATCCAATTGTACAGCACATATGTACGCTTGAAGTGCGTCCATAGGTTGATTCTGCTGCTGATACAGCACTCCAATGGAGCACCATGTGTCCGCGTTGCCTTCGCTCTTCTCCACCGAATTCCTATACGCAATAAATGCGTCGTGCACCTTATTCAAGCCCGCGAAGCACCGGCCGAGTAGATAAAGCGATTGTCCCGATGTTGGACTCGCCTCTATTGACTTCTGCAGGTAGTGAATGGCAAATGTCTCACGTGCTCGCTTCTCTCCCAACGAATCAATTGAATGGTACATCCATCCTGTAAAATTGAAACAGGAAATTTGAGGAAAATTCTCTCAGCGACTTCAATCTTGCGAGAGGAAATGAACTTGAACTGCCTCTAATATATAGATTTATAAATAAACTCTCGACTGGAGATCGGAACCGAAGTGATTTTTGGCGATTGCGCCGATTTCAATATGACATTAAACGGTATTTTCCTACATAATTTCAGTAGTGGTTATAGGATATTACACATTTTCAGTTTACCAGGAAATTCTGAATAATTTTAGAACAGATAAGAGAAAATGAATGATAATAGGATTGAGACTTGCTCAATTCTCGTCAAATTTTTGCCTAATGTAATTAATTAATGATATATTAACCGTGTTTAACTTATTCGCAGCAAAATATCATGCAATTGGCATCATTTTATGTTTTTGAGAAAGCCGTTATTAATGGGTTTATTTAGAGAGAGAGTTTAAGTCTTTGCACAACTAAGAGACTGTTGTTTCGGTTCGGCTCAGATCTCTACATCTCGACTGAGTAGAATATTCACTCGCTCACCACTTCCTCGCGAATGGGTAAACTTTATCTCAAGAATTCAACACTATTTGCACAATCAAGAAGTTCCCATACCATCAACTGGTTTATTCAATATGCTTAACAGTAATATTTCTTTTTGGCAGTTTCCCATCTCGCGCCTCTCGCCAAATTCAATCAATATACTCACCTATCTGCCTATAAATATCTGCCTTTAGTTGCGGTGTCAGCTGTTTTTCGTTAAGTAACTGCTCATACGCCACTTTCGCCGCCTTATGCTTTGATTGCACTTCATGCAGATGAGCAATGTGAAAACGGACTGAAAAAAGAATAATGATTTCTATATATGTATTTGCTATTTGACAGTGCCTTTTTTAATATAGCACATCAAGTAGACACTTTTATATCAATTTGTCTACGTATCACTTCTTGCATTTTAATTCTCTTTGTCTCTCGCCTCTCTTCTGCCCCCCCCCTCCAACTGCACACAGTCAAGTCAATGTCGTTTTATTCTCAGACCGGCAGTATAAATTGACTTTTATTCGTAATCTCATTCTTCCTCACACATGAAATACAATTAAATACTTTCAGCTATTAAGAGCCCGGCTCGTAATGCACCTCTTTTTCTCTCTCCTTTCATCTTCTGGACGGCAAGGAGAGCACACACATTAAATAAAATTTAGGTTTATTCACCAAAAGTGGAAACCATGTTGATTTCATCGCGACATGACTATAAATTTCTCTGTGGAAGAAGCAAGAGAGTCTCTTTCTACTTACTTTCAAGTTTTGACGATAAAGTGGGTGAGGATGAGTCCAAATAGGCGAGTTGCAGGTGCTTCAGTGCTGTCTCGTAGTCACCATTCACCTTAAACATAAGCCCCAGGCGCAGGTGGACTTCATTGGCACGTGCAAAGTCGGGACAGACATACAACAACTGCTGGAATGCCTTGATCGCCCTGCAATTGGATGAAGAGAAGACGTGAATAATGGATGTTTTCCTTAATCCGCCACACCATCGCTATTAAAACTACTATATTATGCTCTTAATTGAATAAAAATAAAAAGAACAATTTCTCTCTCATTCTCTCTCTCTCTCTCTCTCTCTCTTTCCTTCGCCTCACTTTTCCATCACACTCTCATCAAACACAGTTAACAAACTCCCTTTTTCAACAATGCAAATTTCAAGTAAAATTATCCCAACATGCAAGAAAGAAATACTATATTCTGCACTCCATTGCGAATCGTAAGAGAAATATGGGTAGATTATGAGGGTTACTCTCATGTTTCACCTCTCTTGCATTGCTCTCCCTCTTCTTGGCCAATTAACAAATTACAAAATTATATAAATTGCTGGTACTCATTTCTCGTTCTCTCCACTGTACGACAACAAGACATACCGGGAAAAAAACTAGACCATGCACAAAAATGAGGGAATACCTTGGAAGAGAAAAAGAAGTCAAACGAAAAAAAACTTGTACGCCACTTTAGGCAGATAATCATCAAGAAAAGTCGCACTCTTCTTGACCTTACCCCAATGCAACTCATCTCAATCCACATAACATACACGACTAAATGCTCCTTATGAATATAAAATGCCATTGGCACGTGTTGCATATTTTTGCACTTCCTCCTCTTCACATTTTTCGCATTGAAGCCATTAATAAAGGCTATACGTAGGTATAAACATTTAATTACTACATTGATAAGCGAATGATTGCAGTGATGAATTATATTATTTACAATTCAAATGCACCACAGCGTACTCGCGCTCTGATAAATGGTTTTTTTTGCCATATTCATTCGCAATCGTCAACGATTTTTTTTTCATGTCATTCCCACAGTGTGAAATGTAAATACATTCAGTTTTTTTTAACCCTTCACCCTAAGCGTTCCGTGAAAACTGAAAAAGTATAAAAAAGACAAACTTTTTTAGCCAATTTTTAGTTGCTTTAAATATTTAAGAGAATTCCTAAATTATGTTTCGTCAGAAATTGCTTCAGTATAAAAAAGCGATTCTTTGAGAAAAATCTGAGACAATTTCCTAACCCAGATTAGAATCACTTAAGTGCGCATAAAAATTGTGTCATAACAAGTGGAATTTAGGGCGAAGACGAGGACCCTTCACCATATAGTGCATGCGAGGGTGTGTCACGAAGGTAATCGCTTCATGAAAGAAAGAAATGCATGAGAAAAAGAAGGGTGACTCGGAGAAAGTGTTTCCCACATCGTAAATACTCTGAGGGGAGAAATGTTAATTACTTCAGCACGAAGTGTTGCAAATTTACAATAATATGATTTTTCACGAAAAGAAGTCAATTCTTTCCTCAGAAAATGAGCAACAGCTGGTGGATGATAAATTTCATCTTCAATTCAAAAATACACTCTTTTCTATCTCTCACTTTCTTTCTCTCTCTCTCTCTTTCATTTCACCATTGAAAAGACACAAAACCACAAAATGATGACCAAAGTAAGCCGTACTTAGAAGGAAAATTGTACATGGAGTGAAGAATTCAGCTTTTTATATAGATAAGCTCAACAAAAAGAAAAACATCTGCTCTTGCTTTTTCACCCCAAAAACTCTTCTGTCCGACAGTGAATAAGACATACAGATATTCGAAAGTATGCAATCAACCACCTGCTCAAGTGAATTGAACAAAAATATACAACATTTGAGGTTTTAGCCACAAAGCTATGTTTTGTTTGTATCGAAAAACTGAGGGCGAAGAAAATATATTTTCTGCAAAGTTACATTCGCCAATAGAAACTTCATGCCCGCAGGGATGATCCCGTAGAAATGCCCAAAATGTATAGGAAATACACAACCAACCATCATATTCTCCTATTCCAGCTGCTGTTTATTCGACAGGAGCAAAAAAAACACACATACGTACATACTTTAGTTTGAAATAAAAGGAGAGAGAAAAACACATTCAACAGTGTTTCTGTGCATCGAAATTCTTCATGAGGACACTCTATTTTTAAAGCCATGGAGAGAATTACCTTCGTTCATTATTGGCTCAAGACAAACAAGCCGCGCGATGGGTTTTATTAAATCTATACAATTTGGGTCTTCTGACGTGACTATTTAAAAAGAAAAATATCTACCGAGAACACACTCTGAAAATGGTGGAGAAAAATTCCTCACAACTCGTGAATATTAGTTTCATTTCTCAATGTCTCAATCATACTTCAAAATACCATACTTTTCCAAGATTGTTTACTCATCCACAAACCATTTCTCGAGCGAGAGACACACGAGAGGAAAGTGATGAAAAATAGCCTTAAGACGGAAACGCTCCACACACAGATAAACACACTTATTGGGAAATTGTGCAATGGTGTGATTTAGCAATTATAATAGCATTGTAGAGGGAGTTGTAGAAAAAAAGGGAAAATTGTCAGACTTTTTGCCATGTGCTGCTATGCTCTTTTTCACATCATTTTCATATGTGTGTATGTATATTGATGTGACATTATCAGAATTTTGCCTCTCATTCACTCATCACCATCAACATTTTCTCTCTCCGTCTCTTCTCAACCGACGCTCAGCTGAATATTGTTGCACAAATCATAGAGTAAATAAATGTTCTAGTTGCAACTATTGCACGAATGACTTTCAAGTTTTACTGCAGTTGGTGGAAATATGTCAGGGCCGCTCTTTGTTGCACATTTTCTAACATTTACAAACACATAACATACAATATATGTAGAGAGAGAGACCTCATATCGCTTCTTGAACTCAAAAAAAACACCATCACCTACAATGTATGCGCCTTGCTAATGGAATCTAGGAAAGGGAGAATTGAACACTTTTTATCACACAGTTATCTCTCTTTCGCGGCTATATCGAAGGCAAAAAAGTCTCTATCAGACGTTACACAACAAATTGATACAAGAAATTCTATTTGTCGTTAAATTACCTTGAATATTTTATACGTTAACATTGAGCACAATTATTAAATGAATTCACACAGAAATATTGTTCACGAGAATTGCTCCATCTTCATCTCTCCCCACATATTGATACATCCTTTTCTTGTGTGTGCTTTTCCCGCGAAAGAAAAACAAACTGGATGTATTCTCAACAATGGATGACGCAACACAAGAGAGGTATTTTGAAAAGAGTGTTGCCAAAATAATGCCTTTTATACTTCCAAAAATACATTAAACAAACATGAAAAAGGATAGTCAACAAAGGGATATTCTTCTCACCATATCTCACACAAACACATTAAGCACTTTTGCCTTCCTGTTTCTTCCTAAAGAGTTTCATCACTTATACATATGTACATTGACTATTTTTGGCTTGTGTGATTCTATTCCTGGTGAGAAGGCTATGATTATATTTATTTTTATCTATATATAGTACTTATCGATACCGTTCAAACTTAGTAAATCTACTGCTATTAGTATTCCTCAGGAGATGCTTGCTCAGTTCTGTTTTCTGCTTTCTTCTTCAAAAATATCTCAATTCTTCTCGAATTCGACCCTGCGACAGCAATCTAAACTTTCCCCGAGAGTGAAATTAAACATCACTTAATTTAAGCAGTTTGAGCAAACAGTAAAAGTTAGTGATTTGTTGATATAAACCATATACACAGCATACCCACGGTGTGCAGTCAGTATCATCAAATGTTCTACTTTCAGTACATAAACACCCATAATCGTAGAAGTCTTCTGACTACCCTTACTGCCTGATCTCACACCCCCTCAACAGTGCGTCCGAGGAAAGGAGCAGTGAATTGTGCTGAGAAAGGGAAAATGTGTAGCCAGAGTCTGGCTGGTGGGGAGAATGAGAAAGATTATTGGGCAGTCGTTGTTGCCATTGAGAAACAAAATGAGACAGCAGGAGAAGCATCAACACCATAACAAAATCGATCGTCCTGAATATTTCACCAGCATATTGTCGTCCCTTCGGAAAGGCAACATCGGAGCCACAGCAGAACTCTCGCTCTCTCTTGCTCTCCTCTCCGTGCCTAGCGAAAAGGAAGAGTTGTAGCAAAGTTATACAAGGCACTTGATATTGTGCGGAGAAATACAAGAGGGGTGCCTCAAGAGAGATTTTACCATATAAAATTCCGAGGGCGCTGAACTGTGCGGTGCCTTCCCTCCCTTCTCAGCGTCACACTCTCGGGTGACCCTCGACGTGCACAGAAAGGAAGGCGACAACACCGAAAATCTGCCCCGCCATCATTTTCGCAGACTGTTCACATTTTCCGGGATGATGGGAAGCTATCACGAAATATCCTCCAGCGACTTACACTTTTCCTCCCTCAAATAACACAAAAGCCATACATTTCAGTCAAAATATACAGAGAGGAAAAAAGAGGGAGGAAATCTCAATTGATGATCAATTTGAAAATATTTGCCTGTCGATGGAAAAATCACCGAGCCTTGCCGAAATACCGTTTTCCAGGCATGCGTGGAGAAGTATTTTCAAGAGTCTCACTCACAATTCGTTTTCCCATCTCTCACACCCTTGGCGGAATTTTCACCCCCCGAATTATTATTAATATTAAATTGCCCTCCATTGTACACCAAAATTCTGACTTTGCTTCACACCACAATAATTCAATATTCCACCTCCAATAAAGGATAATTACATTAAACAACCTTATTCGTTATCAGGGTGACACAGAAACTGGTGTGCTGTGGGAATTTGCATTTTTCTATCCTGAAGCACCGCAAATCTGTAATATATATGAGATTTTCCAAATATCTACATGCGAAATGTGCCAACCACCACCATTATTATCAATTCAATAATACCAAGAAACTTCGTAATCCAATACGGGAAGAATAAATATGATGGGAATAGCAAAGAAGCTCTAACTTGCGTGATAGAGAAGATATATATGCTAGTGAAATACACTATCAAATATCACTAGGAAATATAAATCCAGCAGACGAACAACACAATGCAATAGAATTGAATTAAAAAGCACGACCTTTCCTA